CATCCCTAATCCCAATGCTCATGTTAAGTTACAAGTTTAGACATATCACCATCTCACCAGAATCTGAAGGACAGCCATTAGAGAGCACAAATTCTGAAGATGTTCTAAGTAGTACCTTTCCCTGGCATATCCTATTTCCTTAAATCTTAATGTATAAGCAACGTTGTAAAACACAAACACAGAAAGTCTTGCATGCATTCCTGCTTTCACCCCTAATATAAAGTGCTTTATCACAACCCACATTTATTTTCAAGTTGACAGGCCCATGATTATAACCCAGGATGCAAAATCCAAGTATGGTCTTTCTCTCTTCTGTTCCCCTCTCCTTCCTTGTGAAGAGAAAAGAGTGAAGTAAACGAGAGAGGGAAAAGGTGAGCTCACATTTGCTCACGGTTCTCTGCTTAAGGACAATTTCCTAATTGCAGTACAGTGAGCTGGACTGCAACAGAGCAGGGCTGGTAGGCAGAGACAGGGCACCAGAGAGGAGGGAACTGGGCAGAGGGGGGACTATAAAAGTTTGTACAAGGATTTCTTGAGAGTCCTTAACCAATGCAGGACTACATGAGACTTGCAAAAGGGTGGCTGTAATAAGGTTAGCATAAAACAGAAATGCCAGAAGTCAAGCAACATGGGGATATATTGGCAGTCTAACCCAGTCTGAACAAAGAGAACTCATTAGCACTCTGGGCATCAACTTGAAACACTAGAAAGGGCTTCACTTTAGGAGCAAAAGAACACCCAAGAATGAGGCTTCCTCTAGACCACACTGACAAAGTCTAAAACCAAGCTCTAATATAATTCATACAGGATACAGAATTTGGAGGATGAGACGTGCTTTGTTACAGGGGCCTCAGAAAAAGCTTTGTGCCTTCCACAGATCTGTCCTAGCAAAATATAAAACCAAGCTTACACAAGGTGATCAACCAGGTACTAAACTGCCTACTAAAAACAACAGTGAACACTCTACAAAGAATTTTTTTTTTTAATTCAGCATCTCAATAATGTATCATCAACACTTCCCAATACATAATCAAAACTAAGACATCCAATAAAACAATAAAATGTGACATATAGGGAAAAACTAAGTCATCAGAAACAGGCTTTGAGATGACCTAGATATTGCATTCAGTAAAACATTAGAGCAGCTATTATAAATAAGTCTCAAAGAATAAAGGAAAATGTGTTTAAACAACAATAACAACAACAAAAGAGAATATATGAGCAGATGAGAAACTCAGGAAAGAAGCTCAAACTACAAAAAAAGAAACAAAGGGAAGAAAAATTGAAATTCTAGGACTGAAAGATTCAATAATTGAAACAAAAAAATAATAACTCAACAGACTTAATAGACTGGAAACAGCAAAAAAGTCTATGACCTTGACAAATCATTAGCAATTACCAATTTCAGGAACAAAAAGAAGAAAACAAGGGGATCCAAGACGGTGGAAGAGTAAGTGAAAGCCTTATGCCATGGAGACAATTGTTTTTGTTTCAGAAAAAGTTCCCTCCACCTTATCCCACCTCTTTCTCTATTTAAATTTTTACAAAGTTTTATCTAGCCTTTTCTTGACTCCAACTCATATTAAAAATGAGTGAGAATTTTCAAACTCAGTTTACTAGAAAACAATTTTAAAGGGGAATAATGTTTCAAAAGGTTAATAATGTATTTTGTATCTTTTAAGTCTTAGACAATTTAGTCTGCCTACTTTAAAATGAGGATTGTAATTATAACTGAAATCTTGTTTGGATGACTAAGGGACATGCTCAGTTGTATTAATATGAGACTTGGGAAAAGAAGCACAAATTAATAAATCCTCTTGAAGTAATAGTTTGCAGAAGTGATTGAGACAGCAACGTTTTTCTATCTTGTTAGTTAAGACTACATTTCTCAGACTTTCTTAACCATTTCTCCCTCTGAATATCGAAAATTCTCCTGGTTTAAGTTCTGAAAAAACCATCTGTTTATACTGCTAGCTTCTTAAGCACGGTACAGTGTTAGGCATCCCACAACTGCATTTAAGAGAAATCGATAGTACAAAGTCAATACAACAAACAAATGTCCATACTAAGGAGCCTCATGTGTAAAAGTGTTAGGCATTTGCAGACTGGAAAATGAATTATCATGGCTTCTCAGATATGCTAGACTAGAGACCCTGGCTGACCTTCCCGCTAAAAAGAAAAATGTAGAATAAAGTACATTTTTAAGTTGTTTGAATGCATTGATGTCCTGGAAAGTTACTAAGGAATGCTCATGGATCAAAACTGAAGTGAATGCAGGACGGTGAGGGCAAGCAGAGACTGAACGCAACAGTTGCCCTGAGGGCATGCGAAGCTTCAGTTTCTATGCCTTCGAGAAGGCATGGGGGTGGGGGCAGAGGACAGAGCCCAACCTGCCCACGTTGGGGAATATAACGGGAAACAAAATTCAGGAATAGTCTGTTTATAAAACACTCATCTGAAAATAAAAGATACAGAAAAATCCAAAGAAACAGGATACAAAATGATTTCTCAAACCGATTCCAGTCAAGAAAAACTAGTGGTGTAGCTATATAAACATCTAGGGAAACTGTAGTTTACCATGGAAAGGTTTACTAGATATAAGAGATTAACATTTGTTACTAACAAGTACAGGATATAAAGGTAAGAGGAAGGTGAATTAACACCCCCTTTCAGAAAAATAATCTGGTACTATCTATTAAAACATTACATGACATAAAATACACACTTGCTTCAGCCCCGCAAACCCAGTCTCTCATAATCCTTTTCACCTTCCTTCCTTATGACTGGAAGACATGTTTCCAACGAGATTAAGATTTCAGGAAGCAGGGGGATCCAAGATGGCAGAGGAGTAAGTGGAAGCTACACGAACCTCCCCCCAGGGCCAATCTAAAATTACAACTAAGTTGTGAAGAAATCCTATTGAATAGCCAACAGAACACTAGCTGGAGAGAAGCCTTGTATCCAAGGACAGACAGAAGAAAAAGCTTCACCCCAGTGAGACTGGTAGGGAGTGAGGAGGAAGAGACACAAGTGGGCCGGCCGGCCAGCAGCTGAGGTGCCGGAGGAATCTTTCAGTGGCCGAGGGGCTCCCCGCAAGAAACGTGGGGTCTAAACACCAAGCAGGGCTCCCCCGCCTACAGCACCAGAGCTACAAAGGAACCCAGATAACAGCCAGCGGTGAAAAGCTTCAGGGTTTCTCTCTGCCAGGCACAGACAGCTGGAAACACAGAGAGCCTTTTAAAGGGCCAACACATAAAAGTTTCACTTGCAGCCACTTACCCTGGGCTCCGGCAAAGGGGGGAGCAGAGTGGACTAGAGACGTTGGAGGAGAGACTGGGGATGGTGGCTTTGGGGAGAGAACTGAGACAGCAGCTGCCAGGATCCTGGTGCTGACTCATTGCCCCTTCTTGCTCAGGCAGGTCATTTGCTCAGGCAGACCATTCCCCTCCAAGGGGCATCAACCTGAGGAGAGGCAGTAGCCCCACCCACAGGAATTCCTCTGCCCCACCCTGTGGCACTTAGGCCTGACTGCTGAATACAGAGTGACTAGATTAACAACTGAAGGACACAGCCAGAGACTGTGGATCCCTGGTTGTCCTGAGCAGACTGCCTAAGGCCAGACTGGGGCACCATCTGACATCACCAGAGGCAGATCCAGAAAGAAAGAACAGTGGTAAATACTAGATGCTACCGAGACCAAATCACCACGGTCTTCATGACTTGCAATATTTTCTCTCCTGCGTAGCTTTTTAACATTCACTTTTTGTCTCTAGAGAGTGTGCCTATTAGGTCACTAGTTTTTATATTATAGTTTATTTCAAAACTTACATATTGCTTCTCCCTTCTCTTATCCCATTTTATCTTCTTCTTTTGTTATTTTTGTTTTAAATTTTGTTTTTTCTCTGCTGTGACTTGTTTCCATTCCACACTATTATTATTTCTTCCCCTTCCAACCTCTCAAAACCACGTTTGCTGTCATTGGTCATCTCACATTCTTCTTTCTGCTCTTAAAATACCCTTGTTCTCTCTCTACCTTTAACCACCTTTGATCCTTGGTTATAGATACTGTGGTTGTTGCATTTCTTCAATTTTATCTCTAGATTGTCACTCTTTTGGTATTTCAAATCTCAAATTTTACTGTTGCCCTCTCCTACTCCATTTTGTCTTCCTCCAGCCCTTTATTTCATCATAAATTTTAATTTTTTTGTGCTCTAACCTGGTTTTCATTCCTCACTCTTAATATTCCTTCTGCATCATTTTTAAAATCACTTCCTTTCCCTCTATACATCTCTTAAGCTTTTCTCTATTTCTTTTCCCCCTCTTATTCACATTCCACCTCTATTAATCTGTGCTCATTTGTTATTGATAGTGTGTGATGGATCTTTTTCTCCAATCTGGTTCCATTTTTTTTTTTTTACTTATTTACTCATTTTTTTCTTTCTTTCTCAGTATGTATTTTTAAATATCTGTTTAAACTTAATACTACACACTTCTCTTCTCTTTCTCCATTATGCCTTCTTCCTTCTCTTTTTTATTTATGTTGCAAAGTTTTCTTTCTCTCTTCACCTTGTCCTGATTCCCAACTCATATTATTACTCCTCCATCTACCCTCTCAAAATAATTTTCCTCTATGTTAGTCACCTCAAATTCATTTTTTCCTTTCATATAATACTCATAATCTCTTTACACCCTTAATAACCATGGCTCATTCTCTGTGATAGTGTGACTGCAGGTGGGGGCTATTTTTAAAGGAATGGGTTTGTTTCCTGGGCTGTGTGATTTGGTTCTGGCAGCACCTGCACAACAGCATACAAGACATGGTGAGTGGATTGATTCTCAGTCAGCCAGCTGGATGGAAGGACCCACCAAAGAATGACCAAACAACAATCAAAACCCAATTACAACCACAGAGCCTACATAAATGGCATAAGGGGCATCCCAAGAGCATCAAGTACAGGAGATAAAGGAGGCTGTATCACTGAATCCCACAGGTCACCTACCACAGAGTTCACAGCATGAAGACAGGAAGTCCAAGCAGATCAATCTAACAAGCAGAAACAAACAAGAAGAGTTACCTAAAATGAGGAGACAAACAAATAACCCAAACAAATAAAAAAAAGGAGGAATACCCAGAAAGAGCACTAAATGAAACAGAGGCAAGTACACTATCAGATATTGAGTTCAAAATATTGGTTATAAGGAAGCTCAATGAGCTAAGCGAGAACTACAAAGAACTACATGGAAGCTACAAGGAACATACTGCAAATGACATCAGCATGAAAAAGGACATAGAAACAATCAATAAGAGCCAGGAGGGCCGTGGCTGGTGTGGCTCATAGATTGAGTGCTGGCCTGAGAACCAAGGGTCACTGGTTCAGTTCCCAGTCTAGGGCACATGCCTGGGTTGTGGGCCAGGTTCCCAGTAAGGGGCACTTGAGAGGCAACCACACATTGATGTTTCTTCTTTCTCCCTCTCTTACCCTCTCTAAAATAAATAAATGATTATTTTTAAAAAAGAAAAAACACAGTAGAAAAAATTAAAAGGAGGCTGGATGAGGCAGATTATCAAATCAATGAGCTCGAAAACAAGGAAGAAAAAAATTCCCAGAGTCACAAAATGAAAAAAGACGTAAAAAAATAAATAGGGTTTAAGGGCACTGCAGAACAACATGAAATGTAATTATATCCATATCACAGGAATACCAGACAGAAAAGAACAGTAGAGCACAGAAAACCTGCTTGAAAAAGTAATGACAGAAAACTTCTCTAACTTGATGAGAGATAATGTCACGCACGTCCAGCAAGCACAGAGGGTCCCAATCAATATGAATCCAAAGAGGCCCACTCCAAGATACATCATAATAAAAATGGAAAAACTTCAAGACAAAGAGAATATTAAAAGGAACAAGGGAGAAACAGCTAGTATCATAAAGGGAGCCCTGATAATGCTATCTGCTGATTACTCAACAGAAACACTGTAAGTCAGAAGGGAATGGCAAAAAATATTCCAAGTAATGATAAGCAAAGGCCAGCAAGCAACACTACTCTACCCAGCAAAGCTCTCATTTAAAATGGAAGGTAAAATGAGGAGCTGCCCAAACAAAAAAAAAAAGGCTGAAAGAATACATCTCCACCAAACCAGCATTGCCAGAGATGCTAAAGGGACTGCTTTCAGAAGATGAAAAGAGAAAGAGAGAGAGAGAGAGAGAGAGAACACAAATAGGAAGGGAAAAATGACAATGAATAAGTACCTATCAATAAAAACCTTAAATTTAAATGGATTAAATGCTCCAATCAAAAGGCAGAGGGCAGCTGAAGGATAAGAAAACATAACCCACATAAATGTTGTCTCCAAGAAACCCATCTCAGAACAAAAGATCTACATAGACTGAAAGTGAAGGGATGGGATAAAATACTCCAAGCAAAAGGACATAAATAAAAGCTAGGGTAGCAATACTTACATCAGACAAAATAGATTTCAAAGCAAAGACCATAAAAAAATACAAAGGACATGATATAATACTTAAGGGAACAATCCATCAAGATGATACAACCCTTGTAAACATGTGCACCCAACATAGAAGCACCTGAATTTATAAGGAAAATCTTGGAGGTCTTTAAGAAAGATATGGACAGCAACATGCTCATTGTAGGGGATTTTAACATCCCATTGTCAACAATGGATACATCTTCCAAGCAAAGAATCAACAAGGATATTGTTGTGGCATTGAACAATACTCTAGATCAAATGGATTTAATCCATATACACAGAAACTTTCACCCCAGAGAAGCAAAATATACATTCTTTTCAAAGCACATGGAACATTTTCCAAGACAGACCATATGGTAGGTCACGAAACAAGCCTCGACAAACTCAAGAACATGGAAATCGTGTCAAGCATCTTCTTGGATCACAATGGCTGGTAACTAGAAACCAACCTCAAGGAAAAAAACTCAAAAACATTCAAATCCATGGAGACTGAATAACATGCTATTAAATATTGAATGGGTTTACAGTGAGATCAAGGAAGAAATCAGAAAGTTTCTGGAAACAAATGAAAATAAACACACAATAGCCCAATACCTATGGGACACAGAGAAGGCATTCATGGGAGAGATGGTTAGTTAGGTTTAAGCCTACCTAAAAAAGATAGAAAAATCTCAAATAAACAGCCTAACCCTGCATCCACAAGAACTAGAGGAAGAACACAAACAAAGCCCAGAGTGAGTAGAAGGAAAGAAATGATAAAGATCGGAGCAGAATTTAATGATACGGAGACTAAAAGAACCATTCAAAGGCTCAATAAATCCAGGAGCTGGTTCTTCGAGAGAATAAACATAATCAACAAGCCTTTTTAACCAGACTCATCAAGAAAAAAAGAGCAAGGACCCAAACAGATGAAATTAGAAATGAATGAGGAGAAATCTTTAAAGGAACCTGAAGACAATGCAATATAAAAGAGAAAAATAATGGAAAAGCACTAGCTTCTCATTGCAAATGGGACTAGAATATGACAGGCAACACTTCTGAGTTGGAAAGAAAAAAAGATTGTCAACTCAGAATTTTATATCCAGTGAAAATATCCTTTAAAAAACAAGATAAGGACATTTTTAAATACATGAAAGCAGACAGAATTCATCTCAAGCAGATAAGCACTATAAAAAATGATGAAGGAGGTTCTTCATGCTGGAGAGGAATGATACCAGACAAAAATTCAGAACTTCAGGAAGGAAAGAAGAATATTAGAAATGATGAATAAGTTGTTAAAAATAAAAGTTTGTGTTCTTTATTCTTCTTAAAACATCCTTAAATATCTATAAAACTACCTACTTAAGGCAAGAATAACATGCTAGCAGTTTTTAACTTATAAAAATAAAATATATTAACAAGAACACAAAGAATGTAGATGGTGAATAAGGGGAATTAAATTAAATTATACTTGTAAATTGAGAAGGGAAAATCAAGTAAAAAGTCAGAAGGGTTAAGTATAAAATGTGAAATGGTACAATACTGATTATAAACAGATTTTAATAAGTTAAGAATGCATATCATTAGCCCTATAATAATCAATGAAAGAGTAATTTAAAAGATGGATAGCTAATAAGCCAATAGAAAAATTAAAATGAAATATTAAAAAACACACAATTAACCCAAAAGATAGACATTAATAGAAAAACAGAGGGAAAAAAACTACAGGGACAAATGAAAACAATGGCAAAATGACAGGCTTAAATCCAACCACATAAATAATTACATTAACTAAGTAGATTAAATATTTCAACTAAAGGGTGGAGATTGTCATATTGGATTAAAAAGAAGCAAAACTCAACTATATACTGTCTTTAAGAGATACATTTTAAATTTAAATATACAAAGAGGTTAACAACGTAGAATGAAATTTTATAATGATAAAAGAAGAAATTCATCAGGATAAAATGCCAATCTTAAACAAGTATGTACCTAATAACAGAGCTTCAAAATTCATAAGACAGAAAATAATAAAACTCAAGAAACAGAAATGTACATAACCATAATTAAAGATTTTATCATTTTTCTCTTCATAATTGATAGAATGAGTAGAGAACAAATAAGTATAGCTAGAGAATATCTGAACAATACTATCAACCACTTTGGCCCAATTGACATTTATAGAACATTCTGCAAACTTGCAGAATACATATAAAACATTCACTAATATGGATTATATTTTGAGCTATAATATAAATCTCAATAAATTACAAAAGACTAAGTGAACTAGTTTTTTTTAGAGGCTATGTCTCTGACCACAATGGAAACAATTAAAAGACCAATAACAGTAAGTTATCTAAATATATAGGTGTTTGAAAATAGAAAATAAACTTCTAAGTAATCCATGATCAAAGAATAAACCATAAGGGATTTAGAAAATATTTGAAATAAATAATAATAAAAATATAACATCAAAATTTGTGAGAAATTTATTGCTTTAAGTGTTCATATTAGAAAAAATTTTAAGATCAGTGATATAAGTTTCCACCCTAAAAATCTAGAAAATAGCAAATTAAACCTAAGTAGGAGAAATAATAAACAGAATGTAAATTAATGAAACTGAGAAACAACAGAAAATTAACAAAGCAAAAAATACTGCAGGAGGTCAGGAAAGCAGTGTTATTGGCTCTAAATCATATTCTCCTAGAAAACTGGCCTAAAAACCCATAGTATCAAACCCTAGTAGATCTCCAAGACCAATCATTCATGTCTCCTCAAAAGTCTAGTTAGGTTCATTAAAGAGACAAATCTGAATTGATTCTTGGACTACAGACAGAGGTCCGCTTTAACAAGCCCAACAGTCTTAAAACTGTCCCTCTTTCAATATCTGACAAACACAAAATCATTTAGCTAGTGAGAATGCCAGTTATACCCAAATATAGAAAATCCATATATTCTCTCTCTATTCAATACTGGGTTGGCCCAACAGTTCATTCAGCTTTTTTCCCTAAGGTGGTTCTAGTAATGCTTAGTTGTCTTTATCTCCATTTGAAACAATTTTGTTAGACTGTTTTGTGACAGCTATTGTATCAGTGTGCATTAAAAAAAAAAAAATTGGTGAATTTTTGTGTAGCCATTTTAATGTTGAAGATGGAAGAAAATAAGCAACATTTTTGGCATATTATGCTTTATCATTTCAAGAAAGGTAAAAACACAACTGAAACACACAAAAAGATTTGTGCAGTATATGGAGAAGATGCTGTAACTCATCGAACGTGTCAGAAGTGGTTCGCAAAGTTTCATGCTGGAGATTTCTCGCTGGATGATGGATGCTCCATGGTCTGGAGACTAGTTGAAGTTGACAGCGATCAAATCGAGACATTGAAAACAATCAATGTTAAACCTCATGGGAGATAGCCAACATACTCAAAGTATCCAAATCAATAAAGCTATTAGTGAAAATGAAAAATGTGTTTTTTATTTCATGGAAAAAAACACACAAACTTTTTGGCCAACCCATAAAAATCTAGAGAAAATTTTTTTATAAATCTAAGTATTTAAAATGAATTGGAGAG